GACAAGATGTGTCTGTGCCCCTGTATGCGAACATTAAGTTTCTTAAATGCAAGAGAAACTTTAAGGTCAAAGCCAAGAGGTCAAATATATTGGTACACAAAGAAAGGTTTTGTCACAAGGAATATATACATGTGAATTCGAAATGCCTTATACCGACCTTTCAGAAATTATGGTCAAACTCCAGGTCAAAAATCAAAATTGTTGGTATTCAAGGAAATGTATTTTGACAAAAATACACATTGAATTATGAAAGCTCTAGCACAAACAGTTCAAAAGTTATAGCCAAGGTTGAAGTTTTTCAAAAGTAGGTCAAAGTCAAAAGGTCAAAAATGTTGTTCCACAAAGGAAGGTGTTGTCACAAGTAACACAAAAGTAACATACGAAAGCCTTAGCACCAGCTCTTCAAACATTCTGGCTAAGGTTAAAGCTTTTTAATAAGTAGGTCAAACTACAAAGTCTACCTTAAATCGTAAAAAAATGTTGGAACCCAAAGATAATTGTTTCAGTTGTTACAAGAACATGTAATGCACATGTAAAGTATAAAAGCCATAGTAACAACTGTTCTAAAGTTATGAACAAGTTTAAAGTTTTTTTTAAAAGTTACTAAAACCCCAAGGTCAAGAGGTAAAAAGTCGAAATTGTTGGTATTCAAGGAAAGGCCTTGTGCCAAGGAATCCACATGTGAATTATGAAAGCTGTTATGGCCAAGTTTAAATTGTTTCAAAAGTAGGTCAAAGTCAAAAGGTAAAAAATGTTGCTCCCTCAAAGGAAGGTCTTGTCACAAGTAACATAAAAGTAACACATGAGGGCCCTAGCACCAGCCCTTCAAACATTCTGGCTAAGGTTAAAGTTTTTAATAAGTAGATCAAACTCAAAGGTCGACGTTAAATGGTAAAAATGTTGTAAGAAAAGTGTTACAGTTGTTACAAGTAATGCACATTTGAAATATAAAAGCCCTGGCATAAACTGTTCTAAAGTTATTGCCAAAATTAAAGTGTATTTTAAAAGTAAGTAAAGCTCCAAGGTCAAAACGTCAAGAGTCAAAATTGTTGGTATTCAAGGAAATGTTTTGTTACAGGGTATACACATGTGAATTATGAAAGCTCTAGCACCATCAGATCAAAAGTTATGACTCAGGACAAAGTTCTTCAAAAGTAGGTCACAGTCAAAAGGTCAAATATATTGTTACCCAAAGGAAGGTCTTGTCACAAGTAACACACAACCAAAGGTTAGTGATTTTAAAAAGGTAGGTCCTGGTTGAAATCTAAGGTCAGAGGTAGAAAGTTAAACATTTTGATACCCCAGGAAGGTTTTTATACAAGTAATACACATGTGAAACATGCAAGCCTTAGCACCAACCGTTTCAAAAGATATGGACAAGAATAATTTTTTTCCTCAAAAGTATGTCATACTCAGAGGTCAAGGTAAAAAATGTTGGTAAACCCAAAATGGTTTTGTTACAAGAAATGTACATTGTGAAATATGAAAGTCCTAGCACCAACCGTTCAAAAGTTATGACTAAGATTAAAGTTCGGTAAAATTTTGCAAAAGTGCGTCAAACTAAAAGTCAAAAGGTCAAACATATTGGTACCGATAGGTATCCAAAGAAATTTCTTGTTACAAGGATTACACATATGAAACATAAATGTCCTAGTTCCAATCAATCAAAAGTTATTTGCAAGGTTAAAGTTTTTGCGGACAGACAGACAGCAGACAAAAAATCTTCGATTACAGGAGCGTTAAATTACTTCAATTCAGCAGATTTCTAAACGATGGAATAAAGTAAAGTGAGGTCGTCACCCATCCAAGCTCTATAAGGTCCGCTGTAGTTTAACTAAGCTGAAATTGGGGGAGACTACGGCATCGATAGAATTTAACTATCGCACTAACTTTTATCGCATAAGTTCCCTTTATGCTGTCCGCTACAATATGATGTTTTTATTTAGAAATATTTGAGATTTTCTGATGTATTGTTTTACAAGTGTCACATTTTATAAAGAAACATGGTTCTCAAACTCCCACTGATGGATATCTGTTTACGTAATATCAAACCCACTATTAGCTCCCGGTAGTTTTTAGTTTTCTGGTCAATATTTCTCCGTCAATTGGCGTCAGGTTTCTGTTAAATTTCTTATCAAGTTTCAACCATTTTGTCACAAAGCATCCTTTGGCGAAGGGGATTAAAGATTAAGGGCCAAGTCCTCTTTGAAGGGAACATAATTCGGAAACAGCAAAAATAGGATGGGGTCATTTAAAATTCTTCTCCACAAACCGAACTAGAAAAAAAAAATTATGTGAAAGCTTCCTCACACAAGTAATAAACTGATGACCATCAAGCAGAAACCATCCTTTAGTCAAAAATTGCACATTTTCAGGTGTTTAGTGATCCTGATAGACTATTTTTTCCTCTTTAAAATTATATATAACATGACATTGTTTATTAACTAAAAACAAGCCAAATATTTGAAATAAAAATCACAAATTGTATGTCATGACGATGGGTCTTTCGAAAAACATCAATTATTCTGTTCTCACACTTCCACACAAGAAAATCCTCCTCGGACTTCAGATATAGTTATGTATGTATTTTTTAAATCAGTTTGGTATTGTGGTGTTTTTTATGATCGATCATTTTATCATTTCATTTCAAGATTAACAGAGCATCAATGATCCAATTAATGTGTGCATCCCCCAAGAACTGAAATTCAGGTTCGTTTAAATTGTCCCCCCTTGGGAATAAGGTAGGGTCACAATAGAAAACTAACTTCAATTTGTGAGTATATAGAATATAAAACCTGGAAAATGTTCTCGGGAACAGCAGTGCCACAACTAATCAAATTCTAAACCGAGGCAGGCAACTGAGAAATAAGTTGATGTACCAAGGATGCCAACAATTTCGTTTCAAGTACAAATTCTATGGTCGATACAATGACGTCTTTGTAAAACAACCTTTATTAAGTCGAATTTTGTTTATTGGTAGGCCATTATTTTTTACACTGAATTCTCTACGGCTTACTCCATCTGAACCATGTTTGCTCTTGCTTTCAATTTGTAATGTCTAATTGAACTTTTCAGCACGATTACTGTTCATTAATACGCAACCATCTTCATACAATGTAGATATAAGATTTCAAATTATAACCCTTGGACTACCCTAAATAAAATATACTATAGTTAACAATAGACAACAGTAGTGAACTATAGTTTACTATAGCATATACTTTAATACTTTGATTTACTATGAGACTTTGATTTAATATGAACCTTTACTGAATATGGTTTTTTTTTTAATCTTTTAGATTTAGAGCATTAATATTTCTCAAACTACATATCAATGCTGGTACTTTTGAAAACAATATTGGAAAATACAAGACTTAAGTTTGTTTTGTTTGTTTGTTTGTTGTTTAACGTCCCTCTCGAGACACCACCACTTGCCGATTGAAGGCTGCAAATTTTGACCTGTACTCGGCACTCAGGGCCGTTCAGCAGTGAGGATATTTTTCGTGCCACCACCTACTGCGACACGAGACGGTCTTATTCGAAGAACCGGTCTCCACTTCCCGCAGTAGGTTTCGAACCCGCGACCTACATGTAAGGATCAACTACTTACTCCGCGCCTCTAGAGCGAACGCTCTAAACACTACTGCGCCACGCGGGCGACTATATTCCTTTTAATATAAAAATCTAATTTGAGAATTCCCATTATTGAAATTTAAGATTCTGAATTTCAAATAAAATTTATCATTCTTTGATTTACTATAATAAATATTTTAGAAATATTTCTCAAAATAATCTTATATAAAATGTTAAACCCCAATTGTTTGGCTCCACCTTTGTCCCGGAAGTCATATTTCTTTTTTTTTAATTGTCGTTAAAAAATTGATACTGATGCGAAAAATGTTAAAAAAGCAAAATGCAATGATGAATTTTATCTCATTTTGCGTCATGGACGATAAAAAAAATAATTCAATTGATCAATTAGTCAGTTCTGAATGAGTGAAAAGGAAAGTACAAAAGTGAAAGAAAAAGAATTACACAAATCGGTTGATTGATGTTGCATTCGATCACACATGCACAAATCATCGAACTCTCTAAGAAGTCTTTGTATAAGACGGCGAATATATCGAAACTACATGGATAATTGTTCCAAATTTTGATTTCATAAGGTAAGAAATACTTTTGTAGAGACGATTTATTTTTCCTCATTTACTTTTCGCCATAACACCTATTTGCTAATATTCAGTTAAACATAGTTTATCATAATAGCTAGAAATCGGGGAAAAAGAAACTCTCTATGATATTTGGAATTCAAACAAGTCTACTAAACACAAATGCATTAAGACATACATTTATTGACGATGTTTAAAAAGCTATTCGCTTTTACTGTCATTTGTTCTTGGAGTTTATTCGATTTAAATTTCAAAATATCAAATTTGATTGAATTTTGAAATATATTAATTGTTTCTTATATAAAGATGCTATTTTTATGAGTATTAATTTAATTGAATATTTTAAATATATATATATATTGGTGTAATATATATACCGTTTGTAAATAGTTAAATGCATATAAAAGTCTTGGAAGGCGACCGTCGATAAGGACCACCAGCTTTTCAGGCCCTGGGGGCACATGTTTACATTTCAATCATTGAACTCCAATCGCCGTCAATCAATGTAATTAATACATCAAGGGCACGTCCGTACATAGTTAACGTGATAAATCAGAAAGACTAAAACATATAAACATTAATATATGTCAGACATATTAAGTTATTGTGCAATTTATTTTAACAATGCAGAGAGTTGAAAAAATTCTTGTCAGTGTTCAAAACTACTAATAGATGTTCATCTTCTGACACAGACTGTCGTTTCATCGAACTGTTTTTGATATGTGGATATAATAAGCTACTAAATATGTGCTGGTGCTTTTCAAGTTACTTTTGATAATCACTAATAGGATAGTTTATTAAATTATTGAGGATTTAACAATTTGAGTCACCATGATCCAGTTTGATAGCGTGATTCCAGGTATACATATGTGTTTTCGCTCTAAACAATATAATTTTATCATTTGAAAAAAATTAGGAACAGTGCAAGCCCTCTCCGGATACAGCACGATGTAAACTGATATACAAAAACATTCTTTTATCATTTATCTAAATAAATTTAATTAATAGAATTATTGTTTTGGTTTATGTCTTAATAATTACTATTCATTTCATAAGTACATGTATATAGCATTAAATTTTTGCGTCTTTCAATAACTTGTATTTTAAAACATTTCAAGTTAAGAAATCTTCAAATAGATAACGTCTTCTGCTTTGTGTACAGGTCTCCAGCATTTATATGCTCCAAAAATGGAGGAGGACAATGACCTAGCAACAGTAGATAGGTTCCGCCTGACTTACGATGGTCCTGATCTCGAAATCATAGAGCGAATCCGGCGGATGTATGAAAGAGTCCCTTTTGGAAAAAGCAAAAATGAGGATGAGGAAGGACGGAAAAAGAAGAAAAAGAGGCCCAAATTTTTGACCAGGCTCAAAAATGATTTGGACTTTAGAAGAAAATTCATCTTAACTGTTGGATTGCTTTGGTCTTTTATGATCCTGGTAAGCAACGACGGATTTTCGCTTCTTGCAGGTTATAATATCTTTAAAATGTTCACCTTGAAAAACACATTTATTAATACTAAAAGTAAAAGACATATTTAATATTATACATGCTAGTAGTTAGTATATCGAAAGACTACTGCTAGACATACAAAATGCTTTGTTATATGGGGAGAGGGAGGAAATAGACTAAACCCGCGATGATCAATTCCAAACAGTGTAAAAAATGATTTTAAAAATGTTTTGTTTTTTTCATTATTATTATTTAGTGGGAGAAAAAAAAAATCAAAATCTATACTTGCTTTACATTGATATTTTCGGGGCTATTCAGTTTAACCCCAATATTAAAAGCGAATGTATATTCTGAAAACTTAAACAGTCAAAAGAAAAAAGCCAAAATAAAAAAAAATATGCAAAAGAAAAAAAAAACTACAACGCGATCATTAAAGTTCTAATAAATACAATTAATTTGCCATGATACATCTACATATGTATTTGACAGTATTTTTATTACATACATGTTATAATGTTTTATTTCTGTTACTTCTACTTTTTCCATCAGGGGTGGATCATAGGACAATTCGGCCCCTCTTTCCTTGACTTACAAATCATTACTTCCACCACCATAAAGAAAGGATCCGCCTTTATGACGGCTAATTCTGTGGGGTACCTCACAGGGTCCCTCCTTTGTGGGGTCCTTTTTGACAGCTACAATAAACTCTTGCTCCTGTTTATTGCCGTCCTTGGTAACGCTATAACGGCAGCCATTATTCCGTGGTGCTTTGTGTATGAAATAATGGTCATCATGCACATCGCCAAGGGGACATTCTGCGGAGCTCTAGACGCCAGTGAGTTTATTAACTGTCAGTTATTTGCTTATTACCAGTATAAGTAATTTTAGATTTGTCCATTAAAAATGTGTTCCACTCTTGTAAATTTAACGTTAGTTTTAAGTCCTAAATTGCCTGGTCTGGAGCTGAACTCGTAACCTAACCTATTCAAATCGTAAAGCATTCGTTCTCATGTGGTCCAAGTTTAACTTCTGGTTTTGGTTAGACCTATAGCTACGGCTTAAATGGATAGAGACCCGTCTGTAGGACAAACCTTGAAATTAACTTTAAATTCTAACTGTAGTAGTTAAGGATATCCGATCCTCAGCCAGGAAGGATAACTCTTAAATTTATTATTTTATTTAAAAAGTATCAAAATGAAGCTTGAAATTCAGATCTTTTCGTGCAACAATTTTCATTTTATGCATCTCAATATAAACAACATAATATTAGGTAAAGGATTACAATGTTATTTGATCAGAATGGATCTGTTAAAATAATATTCCAGTACATGAATACAACTTCCATTAAATGGTCATACAAATTTAAATGTATAAAAGCAACCAAAAAAAAAAAAAAATGGAAATACGTGTATTTTTAACTGTTGAAATGTATTTAATTTGACAAAAATGGATGAAAAGCTGAACATTAAATTTAATTTTTACAGTTTGTAATGCCGAAATAGTCTACACATGGGGTGAAGAGGGAAGAGTCTACATGCAAGCTCTACATTTTTGTTTTGCATTAGGAGGAATCATATCGCCAATAGCAACCGCTCCTTTCTTGGCTCCGAAACATAAGACTTTCTTCCTCAGCAAAACTCCTGTAGATTATTACATACCGGAAACAGATTTTGACACTGTGAAAGTTGCCGTAAATGGATCAAAATCTGATACAGGGATTGATTTTACTGTGAACTCCGTCACAAATGTTTCTTTTACCAAAAACGTCACGTATATAACTAAACTGGTTCCCCATCCTCCTCCAAAATCCAGAATTTATATCGCCTACCTTCTCTCCGCCCTCCTGGCCTCTACAGCAGCGCTGTTCTTCTTCATTTTATACAGAAAATCCATGAAGCAGAAGAAGAGAAAACTGAAAAAGCGAACAAAAACCGAGGAATCTCAACCAAAAGTGCTTCCTTTGAAATCCAAAATAATAGCCATTGCAAATATGATGTGCATTATGGGATGCTACAGCGCAATAGAAGATACGTTTGCTGGCTTCCTCGCAACGTTTTGTGTCAAACAAATGGATTGGTCTAAATCTGCAGGCTCCTTTGCAACCTCGTTTTACTGGGCAGCATTCGGAGGGGGTCGTTTCTGTGGAATATTTCTCGTGCGCTTTTTAACTCCGGTGCGAATGATATGCATGTATAGTGGTCTTCTGATTGTAGCTTTTACTGGATTATTCTTGACTTCCAACGAAGGTTATGACGCGGGAGTTTGGATTTGTGCAACGTTAGCGGGGTTTGCGCTTTCTATCATTTTCCCTACCATGTTTATTTGGACTGAGGAAGAACTACTTACAATAACGGGGAAAGTTGCGTCACTGTTCTTGATTGCGTCATCATCAGGCACCATGGTTAACCCCATTGTACTTGGGACTCTCATGGATAAACTCACGCCTATGTGGTTCTGTTATTTATTATTCACAGAGAGTGTGCTTTTATTGGTGTTCTACTTAATAGCTCAACACATCGCTTCTGTCATACATGCTCCAAATACTGAAAAGGGGAGCAAATTTGATGACGTACGCCCCGTATTTTATGATGATTTTGATCCACGAAGCTTCTTGACTGACAAATCAAAAGAGCAGAAATCCAAAGTGAATCCGGATCTGACACTAAGTATAATTCCATTAAATGACGAGGATCCAAAAATAGCAGATATGGATGTGAAGGAGAACTCGCTGCCATTTAGCGGAAGTGACGAAGAATCAGAGACTGAATCTTTGTTGACTGGCGAAGACCGCGTCCAGAGTTAATCCGAATTTTATAAAAAGTTGAATGCTGAAAAATTTGGATAATTATATAAACATTGTGTCTTTTTAATTGAGCACCGAGTTCAGTTAGTTCACTTCACAAAAACGTTTTAAAATTGTTTTGTTGGATATGTTTCGATTTTTATTTACATAAATAAGAAATCAAGGTACAGAATTACGTGCAAGATTTGTTTGTAGATGGTAACTATATTATATTTACATCCACTGAATATATTTTCCTTTATTATGCCCCCGTAATCGAAAATAAGGGGAATTATGGTTTTTGTCCTCTCCGAATTTCAGTCTTTCTGTCTGTTTGTCCGCAAAAACTTTAACCTTGTCCTTAACTTTTTGATTGGTTGGAGCTATAGCTTTCATATTTCACGTGTAAATGTATCTCTTGTGAAAAGACCTATCTTTGTGTACAACATATTTGATATCTTGACCTTGGAGTTTGATCCACTTCTTCAATTTTTTTTTTTCACCAAACTTTAGTCTTGACCATAACTTTTGAAAAGTTGGTGCTAGGGCTTTCATACTTCACATGTGTATTCCTTGTGACAAGGCTTTCCTTGGGTACCAACAAATTCGACCCTTTGACGATGAACTTGCGGTTTGCCCTACTCTTAAAAAACTTTAACCTTGGATATAAATTTTGAATAGTTAGTGCATGGGGCTTTCATATTTCACATGTGTATATCTTGTGACAAGAACTTTCCTTGAGCACCATTAATTTTGACTTTTTGACCAATTGACCTTGATCTTGACGTTTGACTTTTTTTTGAAAAACTTAAACCTATGCCATAACTTTTCAACGGTTGGTACTAGGGCTTTCATATTTCACATGTATATTCCTTGAGACAAGACCTTTCTTTTAGTATCAACATGTTTGATCTCTTGTCCTTGACCTTTGAGTTTTACTTGCATTTGAGAAATTTTAACCTTCGTCATTATCTGCCATACGGGGGGATCAGTGTTTTACAATCACAATCATCTTGTTTCTTATCAAAACCACGGCTTTTTATCAGTCTGTAAACTTCGCTTAACTTTGCTCTTCCATCAATGAAACATACAATGACGTACATGTACTTGTCAATAATACATCATTTTACGTACTTAATTAATCCTACTTTAAATAGGATTATTTATACAGACATAAACATAAACAATAAAAATGATTTCTTTGGTTGTTAGTAATGGAATCGTTGCATCTATTGCAGAATAAAAAAATACATAAGCCGCTTACGTGGGTTATGTTTTTTTCTGCAATAGCTGCAACATTAATTCCCTTACTAACAACCAAAGAAACATTTAATTGTTTAAATAACTTACCATTATTCATAATTTTCAATAATGAAAATGAAAAACAACCCAAAATATGAAGGTGTTGCATTCTTTGCACTATACATGCATATCCTACTTTAAAAAAAAAAACAAAAAAACAAGAGGCCCAAGGGCCTTAACGGTCACCTGAGTACAGTACAACAATTTAGAGGATCCATAAACTGATAAATGAAGCTTTGTTACCCAAAAGCAAGAAAAATAGTATGATTAGAATTAACAAAATAATTGGTCTAGTATCTATCTGTCCCATTACCATGCAGACTATTAACAAAATGTCTATTTTTTAACCCCATATTAATAATTGTCACATTGGCCTCTCTAAGCCTTTGAAGAACATTTAAAAAGATAAGTTATTTTTGTCTCATTTTTATTCATCTATTATTTCGAAGTCTACCTGATCATTAAAACTATGAAAGTACTTTTTGTATTGTACAATAAATATTCTTGCATAATTCTCGTATTCTGTTAACCTTTCAAATACATTGTTTACATTGATTAATTATCAAAGGTGAATGGCAAAGGGGAATAACTTTGCTCAGCAGAATACAAGTTAATAGAGCCCTGGCCAGGACCAGAACACTTGACTAAATGGTCCAGGTGTTCAAAATTCTGGTAAAAATATCTTTGCATATTAAAACTTTTACTATGTTTGCCTCCAATATGAATATGTCCAGAAGCATAGATTTTCAAAGAAATCATGCATTTTCACTATATTATTAAATAAATAAAGCCCCACCTTTACACCAGAACATCTGACCCAGGGGCCATGAACTCACAATTCTGGAAGAAGCACCCTTGCTCATCATAACTATACACTTGTTTCTTTGCTCTATAACGAGTTGTAGAAAAAAATATTTTGAAAGAAATTATGCATTTTCACTATATAATCAATAGAGCCCCCACCCCTTCACCAGAACCCCTGACCCAGGGACCATGAATTTCACAATTTTGGAAGAGGCATTCTTCCTTATCATAAACATGCACTTCCTTTGTTTGAAAAATACCCAGGAGCAGAGAAGAAGATTTTCCCTATATAATCAATAGAGCCCCACCCTACCATCAGAACCCTTAACACAGTTGCCATGAAATTCACAATTTTGGAAGAGGCAACCATGCTCGTCATAACTATGCACTAAATTAGTTTATTTAATACCCAGGAGCAGAGAAGAAGATTTTCAAAGAATTAATGCAATTTTACTATATAATCAATAGAGCCCCGCCCTAACACCTGAACCTATGACCCAGGGGTTATAAAATTCACAATTTCTGAAAAGGCAGCAATTCTCACCATAACTATGTTCTTAGTTAGTTTATTTAATACCCAAGAGCAGAGAAGATTTTCAATGAATTAATGGATTTTCACTATATAATCAATAGAGCCCCGCCCTAACACCAGAACCCCTGACCCAGGGGCCATGAAATTCCCAATTTTGGAAGAGGCAATCTTGCTCATCATCACTATGTACTTAGTTTATTTAATACCCAGGAGCAGAGAAGATGATTTTCAAAGAATTGATGCATTTTCACTATATAATCAATAGAGTCCCACCCTAACACCAGAACCCCTGACCCTGGGGCCATGAAATTCAAAATTTTGGAAGAGGCACTCTTGCTCATCATAACTATGTACTTAGTTACTTCATTTAATACCCAGGAGCAGAGAAGAAGATTTTCAAAGAAATAATGCACTTTCACTATATGATATATATAGCCCCACCCTAGCACCAGAACCCTGACCCTGGGCCATGAATTTCATAATTTTGGTAGAAGGCTCATTGCTTATTACAATCATGCCAACAGTTTGACTGCTTGATGCCCAGGAGTAAAGAAGAAGATTTTTAAAGATTGCATTAATTTTAGTGGGTTTTGCCCCACCCCTCAGGCCCCAGGGGGGCAGGGAGCATGAAATTCAAAATTTTTGTTCCCCTTCACCCATAGATGCTATATGCCAAAATTGGTTGAAATTGGTTGAGCGGTTTCAGAGAAGAAGCTGAAAATGTTCAAATGTTAACGGATAGCAATAGGTCACCTGGGTAAACTCAGGTGACCTAAAAAAAATAAATCATCAGAACTTTGAAATTCAATAACATCGTTATGTTATCAATAATGTGATGTTTACAGGGCGTGTTTCTGGTGCATTACACGAATGATTCCTGTCTTAGACAGGCAATGGACATGTAAATCTTATACATGTACTAACTTTGTTTTCTTTTCAAGACTTTTAAAATCAATCATAATTCAAGAATCCTGATTTTGAGTTCATTCTATTTAAATGAGGAAAACAAAACTATCAAAAAATGTTTTATGTATAAAATGCACATATCTTCATGAAAGTTTTTAAAAATGTTATTCAGACTTCTTTTTTTCACAAAAATACTTGTTTGATTTATTGTATATGTGAGAATCCATTGTCTTTAAAAATATTGTATTTCACCAGGACTTTCCCCTTCAGGTGAACATCCATTTAAAGAAAAGAAATGGGGTTATCATAATTGGTATTTTCTATCAACACCTAAAAACGCAGTCTTTTTGTATTTTTATTAACTAAATAGAGACGTTTATTTGTGCGCTTCAAGTATCTAACGAAACACGATCATTTTAAATTGTTATTTCGAAGACATGAGTGAAAAAAAGTGGAAAAGAGATATGGAAGTAAAATGTTCAACAAGATAATATATTGATGCAACGCATCAAATCGGCCGCAAATGTTCCACGTATTGATCATAATACCCTGGATCTAGGTATGTCACGTGATGATGCAGATGATGTACATCACAATAAATGTGAAGTTTATCGAAAAATTTATTGTACCTGTAGCAAATCCAAAACAAAATTCAATACTATTTCTCTCTAAATTTTCAAGTATTGTAATTTTCCGGAAACTCGCGATCATATCGAGTTGCTTTCACACATTATACATATACACTCCTATGCTGGCAAGCACTTCTTGTAAAAAAAAAATGTAAAATCACAAATTATCAGTCTGATAAAAATTGACCAAAAAAAAAAAAAAAGAAAGAAAGAAAAGAAATGCATTGATAATACATGTATAATAATTATAAGACATAATTATATAATTAAAAAATATTCATAACTTTGATGCCTACTATCAATAAGGAATTATTCTATATATCGAAACAACAAAAAATAACACCTCATTTCCCCAGGTGTACTTTCTATATGTAATACAGCCACAAATAGATCAGCTGCTGCTGCGGCCGATAACAACTATTGAAGCGATTTTGCATCACTAATTGTCACCACTAGATATTGGAATAAAAATAAACTTAAATCTACTTTTGCGGACTGTTTGATCACGAAATTGCTTCTTATTTTGTATTTTTGCTTGGCTCTTGCAAACTTTCAACTGTTTAATTCGCTTGCAATTAGACACAAATTTGAAGTTAATATGATCTAACATTTTTGGTATAATATCATGACTTACATGTACATGTTCATACCTATATATCATCAAATCGTGTTAAGAAACTTCTTTTATCTGAAAATTATTAAAACTAAAATTTCGGGACGCATTTGATTACAAGTAACACAAATCCTTGCACTTTCACGAAGTAAAATATATCCTTTGTACATATATTTAAGAAAAGTAGAAAAAAATTGTGCAGTTATGAAAAATATTTAAAATTATAATCCAGAAAATGCAAAGTGGAAATGTGAGAAAGTAAAATC